CCCACCCCTCCCTCAGACCCCACTTCCAGGTAGGATATACCGGGCTCATTTTGTTTGGTTATAAATAACTAGTTATAAGCTTTAGATGGGGCTTGATATGAATTTGTTCTATAATCATCTAATTTTTGGTAAACCACCATATTGCAGTTTTGCTTCGTGAGGTTAGATAGGTTTAAGCGGAGTTCTTTCAGTTGCAAAAAGAAGGCTCATTCTTCATGGATCATAAAATCAGTGCTTAACAACAAAGAATCAAGTATTAATGGTGACGAGGCAATAGAACCTGCAAGGATTCTTCTCGAGAGGCTGTTTGCTCAGACACAAAAGCTCGAAGAGAAGATTGGTAAAGATTTGAATCTATCTCAGGATATCGAGTTGGAACTGAATCTTGGAAGGCTGGAATCAGATCTTCAAACAGCCCTAGCTGTTTTAAGAAAAAAAGAAGAAGAATTGGAAGCTGCAGAAGATAAGATATTTTCAGAGTATCGTGATTTAAACCAAGCAAAGGAGGAATTGGGTAAGCGAGAAGAAGAAATAACAGCTGTTTTTTTGAGGCAGGAGAAACTCGAAGAGGAGCTAAAACAAGCTAATCTTGATTTGGCTTCCCAAGCAACTGAACTCAGAGATTTGAAGCTTCAACTTGAAAAACGAGATAAGGAGACAACTGCAGCCCAATCGGCACTTTTATTGAAAGAAAACCAAGTGAATATTATGGTTAATGAATTGAGGATAAAAACAGAGGAAGCTGCGAATAGCCAATCTGAACTTAGGTCCAAATCCCGGATTTTAGTTGAGACGAAAGAAATTTTGGATAAACAAACGCTGGAGATTCAAGAACTGAGAAAAGCAGTTCAGGAGAAGGACGAAGAACTACAAATTTCTATGGCACTTCTTGAATCTGAAGAAGAGAAACTAAAAGTTGTTGAGGCGAATTTGGAGAAGCAGACGATGGATTGGCTTGTGGCGCAGGAAGAAATGAAGAAGATAGCAGCAGAAGCATCTAAGCGTGCGGTTGAAGTTAACGAATCTTTGGAGGATTTTACTAGGGTGAGAAAGCTACTTGCTGATGTGAGGTCAGAGTTAGTATTATCGCAGAAATCTCTGAGTTTATCTCGGCAAAAAATGGAAGATCAACAAGAGATTCTCGAAAAGGAGCTTGTAGAACTTGCAGAACATCAGAAGAGCTTGAGTTTGTACACGGGAACTCTCGGAGATGCTGAAATGGAAGTCGAAAGTGAAAGAGTTAAGCTCAGACTCGCAGAGGCTCGGAAACAAGAGCTCGAACGCGATTTATCCATCGAAAAAGACCTAATCAACGAGCTACAGAGGCACTTAAATGACGAAAAACTTTCTCTGCAACAAGCAACTGAAGAAATGTCTGTTCTTAGAGATGAACTAGACCGAAGAAAGTCGGAATATGGGGAAATGCAAAATCTTCTCGAGTCCAAAGAATCTCAACTCGTGGAAGCAAAACTAGAGATCCAACATTTAAAATCCGAGCAGGAGTTTCTCGAGCTTATGTTGGAGGAGAGAGAATCAAAACTATCCGATGCACAAGTAATGCTGGGTGAAGTGAATGAAGAAATCTTGAATCTAAAATCCCTTCTGAGCATTAGAGACGAAAAACTTATGGAAACAACAAATTTACTGAAAGAGAAAGAGGAACTGGTTGATACGATGCAAAATGACCTAAACGAGACAAAGATGAAGTATTCGGAAGCCACAAGTGTCGTAGAGCGAATTCTCGATCTTACAAACAAAGTCGTCAGTTCTATCGAACAGGAAGGCTACAAAGAGAAGAAACCAACCGAATCCAGTTCCAAGTGGGAGAAGAAACAGCTTGAAAACGAACTCGAAGTGATGACGGAAACATTGAGGTCAAGAGAAATGGAAGTTCTGCAGTCTCAAAGAGCTTTAACGATCAAAGACAACGAGCTTAAAATGGTTTTGGAAAAACTAGAGGAGCGAGAGAAGGAGATGAAGGAAATGAAACGAGAATTGACTCAAGATGCTGACGATTTGAGGAAGCTTTACGCAATGGCGCAGGAGAGAATTGGTGAGAAAAGCATGGGCGAATTGGCGATTGAAAAGCTGCAGTTGGAAGCTGCTCAACTCCAAGTTGAAGCTGCGACGAGTGCTCTTGAGAAAATCACGGAGATGAGTAGAGACCTTTTGCGTTCGACTAGTTTAGTTATAAAGGCTGATTACGATCTTGATATTTCTGAACTAAACATGCCTGAAAAGGAGGTTCGTGCTTTTGAAGATGATCAGTGTTTCTCTGAACTGAGAACCGAAGTTGTGAGGCTTTCGGATTTAACCGAAAAGCTCATCCAAGAGGCTGGGATTTCTAGCGGGTGAGTTTTAGTTGTGTTGTAGATAAGTAACGACCAACGAAATGCTTACTGCTTGTATTGTCCATGTGCTTTAGATGGTTAAAAAATTACGGTTAGATACTTGTAAATCGATGCATAAAGGATCGTACTAGCCCTGAACAAGCCAAAGCCAAAACCAAAATCCAAATTGAAATCATCCCTTGGCTCACTGCAAATTGAGTTGTGTTCAATATATATATATATATATATATATATATATATATGAATGAACGATCAAATGAAAACCGCCTCCATTTGTGTAAACCATGTAAACCAATCACATCCATCCATTTTCTTGATCAATGGTCAAGATTAGTTTAGTTTATTTTAAGAAATTAAAAAATATATATATTAAAATTTTATTTTTATATTAGCAATAAGGGCAAAATGGTGAACAAAATTACATCTTCTCTAACCTCTTAATTTTATTTTTGTAAAGTAATATATTATTTTTACGTTAACATTATTTTAAAATAACATCCATCAATAAAATATATCAAAAATATAAATAAAACACACCATAGTCAATTCTATATAATGAATCGTTTCAATAGAAATAAACAAAAAAATGAATTACAATATATGAACGAAATGGTTTCAAAATTTCATCAACAAACTAATCAACGTATTACTGATCATATTTCTTAATTTTCATTTTACTGGTAGATGGATCCATTACATTTAGATAATGAAAAATTTTCATTGTTTACTGAGTTCATAAAATTTTATGATAAAACATGAAATAGTTTCATTGTCTACATGAAATTTTACTCATGGTTTGATGAGTCATTTATTATTTCATGATATTGATAATGAACTTTATTCACTTTTCGCTAATGCATCAGACTTTTTATTCCTTATTTTGAAATTGTTTTAATGTCCTTCACACACCCATGTAAATATGCACCATATTCATTATGCAATTATTACAAGACGCACCGGTTTCATCATGTACCCATTTCATCATGCAATTATTTCATGACGAACCGCCTACATTATGCACCCGTTTCATTTTCCATTTCATTTACTAAATGGATCAACTACACTATCACTAAATGGTTCACCATGAAAGCAGTTCACTACTCATTGTTCAATTATGCCATGGACCAGTTTCACCTTAATGAAACATGTTTCATGTACATTAATTTTTTTATTTCACTCCTGATTTGATGAATTCATTCCTTTAAGCCTTACAATCTTCAAGATTTTGGAGCAGATTACAATCTTCAAGATTCTGGAGCAGATTCATCATGTATCCGTTTCATCATGCAATTATTTCATGACGAACCAAATATATTATGCACCCGTTTCATTTTCCATTTCAACTACTAAATGGATCAACTTCACCATCACTGAAACGTGGTTCACCATGAAACCAGTTCACTACTCATGAATCAATTACGACATGAACCAGTTTCACCTTCATGAAACATGTTTCATCTTCATGAAACCTGTTTCATGTACATTAATTTTTTAATTTCAATCCTGATTTGATGAATTTATTCCATTATGCCTTACAATCTTCAAGATTCTGGAGCAGATTCAATCGCATAACAATATATCAAGTTTAAATTTTTAATATTATAATATAATTAAATATTTTAATGTTACCATTTATACAATTTTCTTTATTACGTTTTCTTAATTAAGATTTATTAATAACTTTCATATTTAATAGAAAATATTGTAAATGACCGAAATACCCTTATTGATTAAATTTAATTAGAAAAAAATAGAATTTTCCTATTGGTCGAATTTAGTTTACACGGTTTCTTAGAAATGCACGGTTTTCATTTGAACCGCCCCCGTTTGTGTAAACCAATCTTATTCATCCATTTTCTTGATCAATGGTCAAGATTAGTTTAGTTTATTTTAAGAAATTAAAAAAAATATATTAAAAATTTTATTTTATAATAGCGAGAAGGGCAAAATGGTAAACCCAACCACATCTTCATCATGCACCTTATTATGGTAAATTTCTCACCATATTCATCACCCTATTCATCATGCATCCTGTTTCACTAGTTCAATGAGATTGTTCACGCACCCATATCATCATGTACCTTATTCATCATGCACTCATTTCATGTTGTACCCATTTCATCATGCACTAATTTCATAATCATTTTCACTTAATTCATGCACCAATTTCACCATGTATGAAACCGGTTTCATCATGCACCCATTCAATAATCATTTTCACTTACTCCATGCACCAATTTCACCATGTATGAAACCGGTTTCATCATGCACCCATTTCATAATTATTTTTCACTTATTCCATGCATCAATTTCACTATGTATGAAACTGGTTTCATGAATATTTTTTTTATTACTGATTTCATGGATTTATTAATCTAATAACTTACGATTTTCATGAAATTTGACAATAATAAACCAAGCACAATATAACAAAATCTATTTTTTAATATTATAATTTAATTAAATATTTAAATGTTACCATTTATAAAATTTCATTAATTATGTTACCTTAATTAAAATTTATTAATAACTTTCATATTTAATAAAAAACAATGTAAATGACCAATATATCCTTAATGATTAAATTTAATTAGAAAAAAATGGAATTTTCCTATTGATCAAAATTAGTTTACACGGTTTCAAAAAATTGCACGGTTTTCATTTCAACGTGCCTATATATATATATATATATATATATATATATGTGTATGTGTATGTGTATGTGTATGTGTATGTGTATGTGTATGTGTATGTGTATGTGTATGTGTATGTGATTACTTTTAACTCTATTTCAAAGGGGGAGGGAAGGGGTGGGCTTATTCATTTTTCTAAAACAACTCAAGTGTCGGTAAAATTCCAAACTTGTGGAGGAGGGCATGCAACAACTTATTACTCGAGGACAAGTCTTCATTTCCTGAAAGTGGGCAATGTGTTATTTTATTAATGGATTGTATGATTTAAAGTCAAGATTATATATATATATATATATATATATATATATTAATTTTATACATGTTGTAATGGGGTTGGGTTCACGTAAGAACAAAAGGTTTTTCATTAGACCCGTAAGACCAATTTATGTTCATTGATCAACTTTATAAGCTAAAGATCTAATGGTATAAAGTTGCACGGTGACAATTTTGTGATTATTGAGAAGTCTCGTGACAATTTTGTGATTATGAATATTCAGAATGTAGATCTAATCCAATGGTTGATAATTGGTCTTACGGGTCTCATGAAAAACCCTTGCTCTCACGTGAACCCAACCATGTTGTAATGCGGTTAAATATAAAACTTTCTTATAAATAAAAAATTAATTAATTATTTATAAAATGTTTTACTCTTTAAATTATGGCGTTGTTTGCAAGTAAAATGATATTTTGATAACTAAATGAGAAATACAAAGGTTGAAGCATATAAAACTCATCAATCAGATAGGGGTTTTCTTTTTGAAGAAATAGTTCGTCTTTAAATCTCAAAAAAATTTGAGGACTTTGTTTTGACAACTTCAGTCTTCATCCCATGTTTGAAAGATCAACAATATTTGTAAACATTAAAATATCATATTATTATACTTTTCAAACAAGAAAAAAACTATAAGGCGAACTTATCGAAATAAAATTATGTAAAAGGACATGATGTATTGAATATTGAAATTACTCTTCGAGTTTTAACCAATTTATTGCATTTACAAAATGCTGGATTAACTTCTTTAACATACACCGTCATGAAAACAAAAAATAGTTGATGAGTGAATATTAAGTGTAAATAGTGTGACTTTATAATGTCGGATTGACCAACATGCATGATGTTGAACATATTGACATCATTTCTCAATGCTTTCTTCCCAAGAACATCTCTCCCGCTTATTCTAGATAATCTGCAAATAATCAAAATTCAACCTTCAAGAGTTTTCTAGTTTGGAACTTCATTGGTGTTAGTTTTGATGTCTGCAAAGTTTATTGGCTTCTCACCATGTCACCAAAATCAACAAGAGCCTATCAGAAATAACATTATTTCTGGAATATGTTGCAGTCAAATGTTAAATTTTGTTGTAACCAGAAACAAAAGATTAATACAACTATTTAATAAGAATATGTTCTTACTTGGATGTTAATCGGTAAAAAGATTTTAAAGGAAAAACTTGTAAGATTATCAAATAGAAAAATATGTACATCAAAATTATCTCGATAACTACTGATATTGGTAATTTAGGTATACAGACAGACTACGAATGATAATTATTTATTGATTATAAAAATTAATTATATATTATAATAATTGTGTTTTAATAACAAAAAGAATATAATAATAATAAAATATATTATTTTATTATTACTAAGATTATAATAATATTAAAGGTATTTTTTGGTATTTTTTTTAATGTGTAGTTTGAATTTATGCATGATTAAAATACAAATAAGAAAATGAATCTTTATCCAAGAACGATAACAAGAAGGATGATATACAAACATCAAATAGTAACATTTGAGATACAAATAAACTCAAAACCAAAATGGAGATGATAGCCACTTCTAATTGTTAAATTAGATAAATTATTATATTATAGTGTACGCCACCGATATAAAATAATACAGAAAAGATTGAACTTTCCATTTTGAAACCAAAATTTTGATACCGAGAACTGAAATTAAGTTATCCAGATCTAGATAAAAGAAAACGAAAAACCAAGAAGAGAATTAGGACAAGCAGAGGTAACCCAATTGAAATTTTGGGAAATTTAAGAAAGGATTTTTTGACTTACTCTTCCAACTTCATCTGCATTGATTAGAAGAAACTTGTTTCATGTTGTGTGAACCTGCAAGTCTTTTAATGAGTTATTGGCCATACACATGGAATCCCTCTCAGTTTTCTAGCAAGCTACGTCCATGTCGATCCCGCCAATAGCAACAAGTTAGCAAACACCTGTAGAAAATGTCGTTAGATTCAGCTATTTGGCGTTTTACAGTTGCAAACATTGATTCTATACGGGAAAATTCTTGAGAAGAAGATGCTGGAAGCGAAAAACGAGAACTTGATCATAGCCGAAATCGAACCAGAGTTGAGAAAACTCTGGAAAAATGGTGGAACCTCTAGAAATTT